AGGCGAGCCAGGACTCCGTCACCCTGCTGTTCAACGGGACGTCGGAGGACTGTTTCACGGGACTGTCGGCGCCGTCCTCTTCGAGACGGAGTATGAACTATACAGCAATATCAGCATGGCGTGTCTCACGGTCTCGTAGTGGCGTCAGGCTTACCTTGCCAACCTTCCAAGCCGACCAACTACTCCACATGCACTCTTGTCTCGGGTGCCGCGCGAGCAGATCCAACGCCTTCCGCCTCAACACCGGATCCCGGCAGCGGGAACACACTTCGAACAAAGGATCCACAATGCCGAGTGTGAACGACAGCGTCGCCGAAGTAGACGAGATGAAGACGCCGCCAGTCTTCCATCTAGCTTCAATAACGGAGACGTCGCTTTTGTTGCTGTCTTCTAGCACCGCGGTTGCCAGGTCGACGATGGCAGCGAATTGCGGCCGGAAAGCATCCCATCCGAGCTCTCCCAGTGAGAGGTCGACTTGAGCTAGGATTTCGCCGACGAGATGGTGCGCTTTGAGTATCATGGCTGCTTTGCGGTCTCGATCATCGAACGATGCCTGCTGCTGGAGGAGGAAGGCGGAGAAGGCTTTCTCCCAGTCTTCCAACCACGGTCCTGTGGTCAGGTATGTCAGCAATGATCACCATGTCTGGAACAAGGCTACGCACCGAAAAGCAAGTGCTTCTCTGCATTCGACACAGCCATATCGTAGAACTGATCGTCCAGCTCAAGATCCATGAAGAAGATCGTCAACTGATTCAACACCAACTCCAAGCCCGAACGAGCCTCCGTCAGGCTGCTGAAGTGCACCGGTCTCTGGGTATTAAACATATCCTTGGCCGGAGGAACGCGAAACTCCTTACCCATCAACCCCTTAGACTGTGTCTGAAGCCTCTGCATAAGCATGCAAAGCTGATCGAGCTCGACAGCGAAAGCCCCGACGTCCCAGCGCTCGTTACCAGGATCCATCGCATACTGCTGCAACAGGCTATACCCCTGCGTCGCATGCGTGATAGCTTGCTCGCAATGCCCTTGCAGTGCTTCAAAGCACGTGAACAGCACGCAAGTAGTCAGCATCAACCGCAAATCCGGCCCCTTCCCTCCCTCCCCAGGCTTAACAAGGTGCTGTATCGACTTATTACACTGCTCCAGCGCAAACCGCGCCCTCGGCTCCCTAAGATCAGTGTCGGGGTTATTAACCGCGCCCGTCAACAACTTCTCATGCAACGACCCAATAGCAGCGACGGCGTGTTTGACCGCCGGCTCCCCCCGCGCAGCCTGCAACACCATCCGCTGCCAGAACGGCGAGTCAAAGTACCCAGCGAGCTGGGGCGCGCTGTTGCGCACGAAAAACTGCAGCGCGTGCTGCTCGTGGCGGTCGTCGCTCCAGGGCAGCGTGACGGGGTCCGTGGTGGACGAGGGGCCCAGCGCGACGTCGATGATGGCGTTGGATTGGCGGCGGACGCGGCGGACGTTCGCGGCTTCGGCGGTGGGGGCCTTCTTGCGCTGGCCGTGGAGGACGGCGGTGCAGATGTCGCAGAGCTCGATGTTGGCGGTTTTGTCGTGGGTTTGGCTCGCGCGGGCGATGCAGTCGTCGCAGGGGACCTTTACGCCGGCGCGACGGCCTCTGCGCTTGGCGGGGGGGTTGGGTTGGGTACTCATGAATGACGAGATCAACGTGAGGGCTTTGAAGATTGGGAGTGGTACTGTCAGTCTGGTCGAGACTACGGCCCGGTCTCGAGGCTCTTTAAGGCCTGCCATGGAGACCGGCATGGTGACCTATGTCGGCCCTAAGCGGCAGGTCTGTCTCAATGTACAGCCACTGGGTAGATTATAGAATCGCAACGTTGTGTGCGTGGCCATGTTGGTCCCATACAGGTAACAGCTCGGCTTTGAGTAAGCGGATTTGATCGTTCGAAAGCCGACGCCGGCCTTAATAATCCTTGTGTCCGTCTGAGGTGGTGTTACGTAGATCACGTGTACTGCGCACGCTGCTCAAATTGTCCTTGACATTATCGACGATCGCAGTGAGAATGTTGTGTGTAGGCACGAGAATAGTTGGAGGGAATTTACGAAGATCTGTCGTTGCAGGGAAGCCGCTCCTTCGACGTCAACGGTACTGTGATTGGCTGCTCCTCTTCAGCCTGCTTAGCCAGCCCTACATCTATGTCATATACCACTATTCGTGATTGCTATCTCAGGGCACTGACGTCTTACTACCTCGGACGCATACCTTGTCCATGTCCAACGGTATGACCGATGGGGAGTCACCAGCAGTCATGAAGGCGGTCCGGCTTTTCCCGGCGAGTGCAGCGAGATGAGAGCGAAGGAAGCGTCTGAGCAGTCGGAAGATGAATTCTTGAACGGATCTGTAACGATCTATTGATCTACAACAGGAGATGTCGGTGCTGCAACAGCCAGAATCCAAGCAGTGAGGGCGAATTGGTGTCTCTGTGGATTCTGGTATTCCCTTGTTGTAATCATGCCTGTGGTCATGATTGGGATGTTTCGGCTGCTTGACGCACCGCGGCTTCGGAGCAGTATTCGACCGCTCTAGCCGCAATGTTACATGTAGGTTGTTGGTCGGGGGTGACGACGCTCACTCCGCAGCGCTCTTTGTCTCAGCCCGTCTTCCCCGATGCACATAGACCGCCCCAAGTATCGATTGTTGGATATCGCTCTAGCATCGCAACTTGGCCGAAGACAAATCACCAGGAAGCCTCCGGTAAGTACTTGGTCTCCTCCAGCATGCACGTCGTTGGTGTAATCAGAGTCTCACCCCAACTTTTGGCCCCTTCAACCACCGTGCAATACTCCTTGCCATTCTCGCCATCGTTGCTGCGCCATGTGAACACATCGCCCCATAGCAGCCTTGTCGATCGCATCACCCCCAGACTTCTCCAACCTCGTAATGCTCTCCACACCTCCTCCATCAGACCTCACGACCGCAGTCACAGTTTCGGAGCATACATCCTCCTCAAAGCCATCGGGGTCGGCCAACACCCAACTCTCAGCCTCACTGCGCTGTTTGAGCGCAGAGCCTGTGCTGAACACCGCGAATGTCGAGGCGACCGGTATGTCATCGAGTCGAAGTCCGTGAGTCTCGTTGGCAAGTGGCGAACAAAGTATCATCTCGCGATCTGGATCCCACCAAGCCCTCGGCAGTCGTGTGCTTTTCAGCGCAGCTATGACAGCCGCCCAAGCCGCATCGAATGGGTTGCCATCAAGCGCAATGCACAAGACGTCTATGTAAAGCGCCCAGAAAGCTTTCGTCACGATCTTGGGTCCGTCGTCTGGCAGATCATCCTCAGTCGCTGGCTCCGTGTACTGTATTCTGAGGTCACCCGGTTTGATCAGGTTCGAAGTATGCATTAAAGACAACACGCGGTAAGACAGCGCCTGTGCCACAGTACTCGGAGGATTTCCAGGCAGATGATCCGGCGAGCACGC